GATGGCACCATGTAGCCAGCAAATGTCTCACAAATGGCTGGGGGTGGGCATGTCTCATGAGCAGTGGGTGATGGTGACAGAGTGCAGGATGGCACGGCAGTGAGGGTGACTGGGCTATGATAGCTAGAGCTTGCTGGGGCATCTAATGCTTTGCACTGCCCTGCACTCAGGGACCTCATGCATCCCCAGAGCCGTGCCATGAAATGCCAAGCCAGTGAGGCAAACAGCCTCAAAGCCATGTGGTTCTGGGGCTGCTTGCTATCCCAGAGTGTAGGGGAGCCAAAAGGGCAGTGATTAGGGGGAAATGGGCAGGTGGGGGGAGTTGAAGAGGAGGCAATCCCTTAATTTATTCAGTCTCGGAGCTGGGAGGGGTTAAGCACTGAATGGCTTGGCTTGGGGTGAGTCCTCAGCTAAGGACTAGTGGAATTTGATTAACAATGGCAATAGGATCCTTGTTGCTAAATAATAGTTATGTGACATCACACTTTATGATTTCATCGCTTAACAATGGAATTCTGATCATACACCAAGGACTATCTGTAGTAATTAAGCTGGGAGGCTAGAAGGAGATAAACCAGCAAAATAACCTTTGGCCAGTCACTTTCTCTCAGCTCAAACACAGCATCAGGGTCTGCCACAAACCAGCCAAAAAGTAACTCCCTTATTATTTTATCCATGACTGTAAAGTAGAATGACTGACTAAGCTAAATAAGTGCACATAAAAGCAGACTATCAAATATATTTCTGGGTTAATAACTTTGGTAGACTAATGTGTAACTTAAGATTTTTAAAATAATAAAATTAAACTCGGTATATTAGAAGTCACGTAGGTAGTCCTCAAATCACCACCATTCATTTAACTACTGTTTGAAATTACGACGCTGCTGAAAAAGTGACTTACAACCCAGTCCTTGCAATTAGGACCACTGCAACATCCCCATCGTCACGTGATTTGGGTATGATAGTTGTAGCATCCTGAGGTCATATGATCACCATTTTTGACCTTCCTAGAGGACTTCTGATAAGCAAAATCAATGGGCCAAGTTAGATTTGTTTCACAATTGCAGCAAATATATTATAAAATCAGGCATGGCCATGTGATAGTTCAACTGCCACACTTAGCAACGTAATTTCCAGTTCCACTTGTGTTCATAGGTAGAGGATTTTTCTATTATAGAAGGCCCCCTGGTTTTGCTCTCAGTATCTCCTAACTCAGGCAGAAAGTTAGAAGTTTGGAAAACTGTGAATAAACACAATTGTCCAGCAGAGACTTGGGAAACCATTGGGATATACGGTTCTGTAATTCTTTGTACGAATATCCTATCTCCTTGACCTAGGACAATGTTTGTCAACCACAATAACTTCAAGAGGTTTGGACTTCAACTATGGTTTTGCAGCCAATTCTGGAACATACATTGGGGAGCTAAGAGTTTTGGAAGGATATACCATGAGTATTCTGTGTAGATCAAACAAAACAATAGGAATAACTTCAGCATGCACTGTTTAAATAACGAAGTCACTGCCATAAGATACAATAGCAAAAAGCTTAAATGGCTTTTAAAAATGGGATTAAATAAATTTATGGAAGACACATGCTGAATTTATTGCATCAACATTTTTTCTAACCACTGTAGTTGAACAAAGGATACAGAGCTGGTTCCTATATAACATTAAGCCATAAATAATGGTTACAAGCCAAAAATGGTTTGGTTCACACATTACACTAAACCAAAACCAAACACATGCTTTTCACAATATTTGTATTCAGCTAGTGGTCCCATATATAGCTAATGCATAATGTGGCTCATTGGGTTTTTTTTAATTTACTATAATATACCTATTCACTATGGTATATAAACCATAGAGTTTGGGGTGGGAGGGTGTGGGCCTGACAATAAGCCAACAAAACAAAACACATTTTGGATTAGGACTATATGAAACCCAGCCCCATTATATTTCAAGAGGTTGTTTCAAACCTGGCTATGTTTTGAGATGGACAAAGCAGTGTTATGGACTTGAAATTAGAACCAGGATTATATTGTTGTGTTTCCCTTCTCCCGCAATAATTGAAAGGGAAATATCCAGATGTAGATGTACCCTTTGTCCCTAATGACTCTTTACGGGAATAAGAAAACTTTGTTTCCACCTAACTTTCCTTGTGGGTTTCCTGTCCTCTTCAATTTGTGACAAATCACTCTTGGTGGAGATCAGATTTGATCTGACTGCACAAAAGCATTTTTATAAGTTTATGATTTCTATCATGTCCATGATACTGGTAGTTTGAACTGACCACATAGAAAGTATTTAATACAACTGATCCTGCAAGGCCACGTGAGGAGCAGATTTGTTTTACAATCCTAGCAAAAATTATGAAAGGCACTTGCTTCCCAAATAGGATTTGAAGTCTTGCATATCCAAGATTGTCAGAGACGTTGGTTGTTAGCTAAAAAATTAACTATTACACCAGGTAATTATTTTGAAGGGTCTATACATTATAAATTTAAGTTTAAAATGTGTGAAATTTAATTGATTTTAAAAGGAAAAATACATAATGGATAAAACTGGATTTTTAAAAATTACAAGAGAAGAAATGTGTGTAATTTAGAAACCTACTACTTATTCACCATTTGCATATCGCTTACATCTTAAAGTATTCTGGTGCTTTCAAATTGCCAAAAGAAAACCTGGAATGCTTTAAAACAAAAAACAAAAAAAATTAAAAATAGAACTACTTCTATAAATTAAGAACATCAAGCTCTCTGGTCCAACTCTCTCCTTAGCCACAAACCCTGTATACAAGCAGAAATATTTTCTTTCTCACCCTTACTTGCAATATGCTAAGACTACTAAGACATAAAAACTTGAAGCAGTTTGTGAACATACTACATAAACTGTAAGGATTCCCATCGCTGTTATTAATATTCTATAATAAGAAAGCCATGATCATAAATGTAAAAAACTCCATCTTCATACCATTCAAGAGTTCTTTTCAGCTAAGGACCTCAAACATTCAAAGTGAACAAAGTTGTAAAGCTGGGAGAATTGAACACAGATCCAAACACAGATGCATACATAACCCAGACGTGCTCTTTCCCTTCCTGCCTGATGTTTGAAGTCAAACCAGCTGTTAATTTCTCTACATGGATGACTGCTTCCCTCTTTACAGATTTACCTTTTATGACTGACAGCAAAGCACCCGACCACAATTTAGAGTTCTTTTTTTTTCTAATACAGGCTGAGGCTGGTAACCATCCTTGCTTCCACACAGCTGCTGACCATCTTAAGTGGGATTTAGCTGCCAACCTATTTTTTCGCTAAGTGTTAAACCCATTTCACAGCTGCCATGCAAGCCACCTGTGGGACTTGGTCAGGCATAATATCACATCTTAGTGCTAGACATGTAAAAAAAAAAAAAATAGTATCCAAACTGTTGCTTGGTCCAAAATCCCACAGGACTGGATATCCCAATTCTGAAACCTGGGCATGAAAAAATATGTGAGAGCCACGGCTCCAATTTCACACCCACAAGGCTGCTCAGACACTGCAAAAACACAGACCAAGTTGGAAACATCCCCTTGAAAGCTAAGCCATGGTCTTGTTTTTCCACCCACGGATCGACCAACCACTGGTAGTTTGGCAAGACAGACATCACTGGCTCTGTCTTTTATTTTAATTCCAAGGTTTCCTACAAAGGCCAAAAACTTTGTAACAGAGAAGTGGCACAACCAGAGGTATTTCTACAGCATTCTGAATTTTAAACGTGAAGGAGAAGGAATCACATAAGCAGAATCTTTGCACAATAAGTATAATGGGGAGAGGAAGGATCCGGAATTCCCTTGCCAATAATATGAAGTACAAAACTTCATTTAGAAGCAGCAGAATTGCCAGCCACACCCACACGTGGCACTGGAAAACAGATCAGCAATTTCTTTCAAGATCTGAAAGGAAAGAAACTTTGGGAATCTCTCAAAGAAAAGAAACAGGGAATCTCCCTCTCCTCTGAGTGCTTTCCTTCACTCTGTGGAGATAGGACTCTGAAAAATATTATCAAAACATTTGCATGCCTATGCCTACTCCAGATTCACTCCCACTGAGTTCAAATTTACCCTCAAATGTGGCTGCCACTATAAAGTTGCCACTTAATTAGCAGAGAGATCGGGACAAACCAGCAGCTCAAATCTTCGGATGTCTCCCTACTGAAAGAATTCCACCATACTCACACACCAAAGATTTTCTCCAAGAACAGTGAAGAGGCCAACAGGCCAAAGGAAGGATGGTGTGCCTGATGACAAGAATATCCGATGCTACAGGGCAAAATCCCCATCTACAGTTGGCCCGATTTCAAGCACAAGGCAGCAGGAGGAGGTGAGGGCAGCCCCATGACAGCTGAATAAGATGACTGAAAGCAACAGTTAAGGTTTATTAGTAAACTGCACAAAAAGTAGGGAGTGGAAAACTGGAACAGAAATAAAATAACGCAACCTTCACTGTCCCCCAAACTGGAACCTCCGATATTAGTCTGAACAGCTATATTCACCAAAATAAGTCTGAAGAGTAATTACAACTTCAGGAAACTATCAGCAATTGCAAAATTCCCCCAGAACTATCTTTCAGAAATCTACAACCTCCTCCGATTTCAGTGTAAATGTGAAAGACTATTAACGAAACTGGGGAGATGAGGACACTGAGGGGAAAGGAGATAAGGAAAAGCAACCCTATTCAACTTCAAACAGGTACTGCATGGGGCACAAGCAGAGAGCGGGGAAGGAGGAGGAAAAGGGATGGGGGGCTGCTATGTAATCCTAGACCTCGATCGGAATCTGGAAGGAACAAAACAAGACAAAAACGACATAGACTTTTCCCCTCCAGCCGTTAAATTAGCGTGCAAGGAACGAAGAAAAAAAAAAAAGACAGGTCTTCCTTTCTCCCCACTGCCTTCCAAACACATATCCAGAACAAAGTCTGCGAAAGGAAGAGCCGCAGGTATCCAAAACTCTTACCTGGAAAGCAGGTCCTTCTCCCTCTCTTAGTTACTAGGGCATGCACAAAACTCTCGCCAACCCCACCTCCTTCCCAAAAGCAATCTTGTTTTCACGAAGACAGAAGCACACGCTCTGGGGTCCCAGCTCTGCAAAGTCACACCGAACGGCTGCCTGATCCGAGCGGGACGGAGGGGAGGAAGGGAGGAGGGAACGCAACGTTGCGCTGGCCAGCGCGCGCGCCCCAGTGCTCAGCAGCCATTAAAGCCAGTCATGTGCTTCGGTGAAACTTTACACTGGAACCGAGTTGGGGAGGGGCAGGGGGGAAGCGAGACAGAGAGAATGAGCGAGGAGACGGAGGTGGGCCAAGCCACGCCCATTTCCCTTTCCCCAGCCAATAGATGCTGCTTCGAGGGTCGTGGAGGAGTGGAGGGGGGGGGGTCGGAACGAGGAAAAGAACGGGGAGTGATCTCCCTTCGGTCGTTACAGAAGTAACCCTTTGAAAGCTCTGCCTTTAATGGAACTGGGCAAGGGAAACTTTCGGTCCTCCTTGTTGGGCACAGCACTCACGCATTTCAGTGACCCCGGCACTTAGTTAAGAGCCAGCCCCACTTAGAATGTAACCCTGCATAGGGCAATCTGCAATTTCCATTGAAAGCAAATGGAGATTTTCCCCACAACGACGTACGTATTGTTATCCGAGAAACTGCTGAAGATTCGTCCAGGTCGTCGCGGACTAAGATAACCCTGTGCTCGGGAGCATCACTTTTACTCCCGGTCTGCATCTTAAAAGGTGATGGTGGTGTTCCTGAGAAAATAGTGAAGCATTTCTGCATAGGAGGATGCCAGCCAGGGCCAAAAAGTTGATGCTTGCAATAAGAAACGGAGTTGCAACTCTGAAATTCCCTTATTCGGTTCTCCATCGGGGGCTCCTTGTGTGGTTCCCAACAAGCCTTTGTCTCCTGCAACATGGGGAATAACCACAGGGCTAGTTTATTGTTAGATAAAGAATGATGAGTTATGGGGAGCATCATGAAAAGAGGGCTCCAATCCATAGCTGTGTAGAAATAAATCCTGTTGTATTCAAATCAATTCACTGCTTTTGAAAGCCTTCATGTAGCACAATTTTCTTTTTCAGGCAAAGACAACTTTTTATTTTTATTTTCCTGGTGTGCTGGAACCATGCTCTCCCTCACACTCACAAAAAGTGATGGGCCTAGGAAAAATGTATTTGATTTAATGTATAGGCAATTAAAATTAAACACTGTTAATATGATCACTCTCGACTTGTTTTAAAATCTTTTCTCTGTTATGCATACTTGATTTCTATCTTGCTTTTCATGTGGGAGAGAGGGGGGCATAGTGCTTCATTTATCCAAATTGCCCCACCAGAACACTGTGGCAAGATAACTTGCAGACTTTAAAATTTCATGTTCAGCTTGGTGGTCTTTGGAAGCTGCACCAGGGCTTTGGGGAAGTTGCCCCCTTTAGGGAATACCATTTATTATTATTATTATTATTATTATTATTATTATTATTATTATTATTAATTATTAATTATTAATTATTATTATTAATTATTATTATTAATTATTAATTATTATTTAAAATATTATATATTATTATTAATAGGGATGTGCATAAGTGCACCAATCATGCCTATCATCCTTGTCCTATTGTTTATTTTTATTTTTCTTATATGTATCCATCTCATGTATTCAAAACTATGTTTATACTTATACCTGTTATTTTGTAAGCGATTGACAAATCAAATAAATAAATAAATAAACCATTGCAGCTTAGAAGTATCAAGGCAGATGGGAAGAAACAGCAAAGGGCCAATCACATTTGCAAAGGAGGAAGAGGAGAGAGGAAAAGCTGCTCCTTTGGCAGCTTGTCTTAAACCCCACCTCCCATCTGATGCAGGACTGACCTGAAACACAGAACTGGGATTCAAGATTCAGCTCTTGATTTCACATTGTGAATTCAGTATGGTTTTCCCAATCATTCGTTGTTAAAAGGTTTCCATCATTTTATGATTGGTAATTCCATAAATAATTTTAAAAATGTTTTGTTACTCCAGTGGTTCTTAAACAGTTTGACCTCAGAACTCCTTTATATTCTTATAAATAATTGAGAAGCCCAAAGAGCTTGTTTACGTGAGTTATGTCCATCAATGTTTACTGTATTAGAAATAAAACAGCAAATTTAAATCTTACAGACTCTTTGAAAGGTTTTGTGCCCAGACCGTCCTTTGAGAACCACTATGTTATGTGATAAATGGAAAAACAGTCATAGAGTTGCCACATCCACAGATTATGGCAGACTTTGCCAATCTGGTGTCTCTAGATGTGTTAACTTCCAAAATTCTGATAATGGAAGGCTCTATATCTAGACAGCATCACTAGGAAAAATAGACTCATTAAGCTTAGAATATGGTTTTGATGTAATTCTTTATGTTTCACGAAGAAGTAAAATTCTATACAATCTTTATTTAGAAATAAATCTCAATAAATTTTATGGAATTTATTTGAGGCTAAATGTGTAAACACTGGGGATATACTAGATTCCTTTATTACATCTTGGTTTAGATTAGACATGGGGAGGAATACATTTGTATAAATTAATAGATTCATCAGAATGTTGCCTTAAAATGGGACCCTCTTGAAAATTGTCCACAACCATGAGATTCAAAAAAAATACAATCCAGTAATTTACTATGAGAACATAGCAGATATAGCTAGAGGACCTACATCTGTCAACAAAATTTCTATTTTTATTGATTTCTGATTTTAACTGATCTCAAAAAATTAAGCAGGATTGGAATAGGTGATTGATTGATGGGACAATATCCAGAGTAAAAATTAAAGAATTTTTTTAAAAAATTCAATGTATTGAGGAGCAACTCAAAGCTCACAATCAGGTATACCATGGTATTTATTAAGTCTGACTAATAGTCCAGATGCCAAATCATGCGGTTTCTTTTTCTAAAGAAAAATTAAGTAATAAAGCTTAATAAAGTCAGGTTATTTTCCTGACACTAGTGTGGAAGTGGCTTGTGCTGCCTTCACACATAATGTTTGGTTTTACTTCCCATTCATTGGTGGTGTCTATTCTAAAACCTAATAATGCCTGATTCTGCTTCCCTGCCAAGCACAAGTAAAACTGGCTAGATCCAGCCCTGATGAGACATTAGAAAATAGATCCCACCTCAAACCATGACATATACATTTCATAAAATAATAAAATAATAAATTCCAGTTCTGGCTGCAAATCTGAAATTCAGTTTGTTTTATTCTGTCTGCTGCAATTCCTAAGTTCCCCAAAGTTTTATCCATGGTATTTGCCAAGAGAAGAATGGTAAATCTTAATTTTCTCTAATCCACTTATACTAGGGCCAAGAATTGTTAAAATCTTTTTCTGCGTCATTCACTCATGCCCAACAAAGAAATGAAATGGAATTGATTTCTAACAAAATAATACCTGCTATATCTCTGTGTGAGTCACTGTTTCAGACTCATTGTTTCCAATCTGGAAACCTGCTTCCCAAATTAGTAACTCATGCAGAAATGGAGGGCAGCAGTGAACTCTGGAGCAATAAGTCTTGGGTTAAAAGAATTAAATACACTACTCAAAAAATATAGAGAACACAAAAATAAGACATCCTAGATCTGAATGAATGAAATATTCTTATTAAATACTTTGTTCATTACATAGTTGAATGTGCTGATAACAAAATCACACAAAAATTATCAATGGAAATCAAATGTAGCAACCCATGGAGGTCTGGATTTGGAGTTACACTCAAAATTAAAATGGAAAAAAACACTACAGGCTGATCCAACTTTGATGTAATGTCCTTAAAACAAGTCAAAATGAGGCTCAGTAGTGTGTGTGGCCTCCACGTGCCTGTCTGACCTCCCTACAACGCCTGGGCATGCTCCTGATGAGGTGGCAGATGGTCTCCTGAGGGATCTCCTCCCACACCTGGACTAAAGCATCCCCCTGTGGTGCAACATGGCATTGTTGGATGGAGCGAGACATGATGTCCCAGATGTGCTCAATTGGATTCAGGTCTGGAAAACGGGCAGGCCAGTCCATAGCATCAATGCCTTCGTCTTGCAGGAACTGCTGACGCACTCCAGCCACATGAGGTCTAGCATTGTCGTGTATTAGAAGGAACCCAGGGCCAACCCCACCAGCATATCGTCTCACAAGGGGTCTGGGGATCTCATCTCGATACCTAATGGCAGTCAGGCTACCTCTGGCGAGCACATGGAGGGCTGTACGGCCCCCTAAAGAAATGCCACACCATTATTGACCCACTGCCAAACCGGTCATGCTGGAGGATGTTGCAGGTAGCAGAACATTCTCCATGGCGTCTTCAGTCCCTGTCACGTCTGTCACATGTGCTCAGTGTAAACCTGCTTTCATCTGTGAAGATCACAGGGCGCCAGTGGCGAATTTGCCAATCTTGGTGTTCTCTGGCAAATGCCAAACATCCTGCACGGTGTTGGGCTGTAAGCACAACCCCCACCTGTGGACGTCGGGCCTTCATACCACCCTCATGGAGTCTGTTTCTGACCATTTGAGCAGCCACATGCACATTTGTGGCCCGCTGGAGGTCATTTTGCAGGGCTCTGGCAGTGCTCCTCCTGTCCCTCCTTGCACAAAGGCAGAGGTAGCGGTCCTGATGCTGGGTTGTTGCCCTCCTACGGCCTCCTCCACGTCTCCTGATGTACTGGCCTGTCTCCTGGTAGCGCCTCCATGCTCTGGACACTATGCTGACACAGCAAACCTTCTTGCCACAGCTTGCATTGATGTGCCATCTTGGATGAGCTGCACTACCTGAGCCACTTGTGTGGGTTGTGGACTCCGTCTCATGCTACCACTAGAGTGAAAGCACCGCCAGCATTCAAAAGTGACCAAACCATCAGCCAGAAAGCATAGGAACTGAGAAGTGGTCTGTGGTCACCACCTGCAGAACCACTCCTTTATTGGGGATGTCTTGCTAACCGCCTCTGCTTTCCACCTGTTGTCTATTCCATTTGCACAACAGCATGTGAAATTGATTGTCAATCAGTGTTGCTACCTAAGTGGACAGTTTGATTTCACAGAAGTGTGATTAACTTGGAGTTACATTGTGTTGTTTAAGTGTTCCCTTTAGTTTTTTGAGCAGTGTATATATATCTTTCAGCAGTTTTGGGGAGGTTGAACTATAACATACATCAACTAAAATTCAACAATTAATAAGATTATACAGAT